AGGGCCTCTCCCACAAGCTCAGCAGGTAGAAGAGTTAATCCCAAGTAAACTGAGGAGCTGAAGCAGGTTTCAGAGAAGCACGGCCTCATCTGGGCACTCTCTGGAAGCATCTCTGGCTGCTGCAGGAGGACAGACCATGACGTCGAGGGTGGAGGAGGCAGGGAGGAGTGAGGAGCTGCGGTCCCGACAGGAGGACCAGGCACCTGGTGGGGTGTGAAGTGGACGATGGAGGCAGGAGGGCAGGAGCCCAGGCCTCCAGGTGAAATCCTCCTCCAGGACGAGGAGGGGGCAGCGAAGGTGCTGGGTTGAAGAAAGGATTGGAGGGAATCAGTGGTTCTGCTTCTGCCCCTCTATGTGAGAGGCCCTGTGGGACCCTACGTGAGAGGTTGGGGGTGGGTATAAGTCTGGAGTCTCCGAGTCGTGAGAGCAGAAGAGATTTTCTGGGGGGACAGCAGAGGTGGGAGAGGTGGGCGAGGATGGGCCTCCTCCCTGGAGAGGCCTGGGGAGGAAGAGGAGCCTGGGTGGGAGGGAGGGGGGGTGAGATGGTGGCCGGGGTGTCCTGGGGCCGACGAGGAGGAAGTGGGTCCCTCCAGCCTCACTCCCCATATTCCCCATGCAGCAGCTAGAGGGTCGCACTAAAGCACAAATGTGACCACCTCCTTCTAGGCCAGGAAACCCCCCATGGCATCCCTTATCCCTGGGGAGAAGTCTGAGCCTTTGGCCTGTGACTCGGGGCCCCTCCCTGGCCTACCCACCTCCCCAGCGTACCCCAGCCCACGTCCCAGTGCCATCACCTCCCTGCGTTTCCTACCTCCCTCTTTTGCCCTGGAGCATCCTTGTTTACCCTGGGCCAGGCCAGCTCCTGCTCACCCTGCTGACTTGTCTCTGGGTCCTTCCCAGCCAGTGTCGGTCTCCAGCACTCATGCTCCCAGAGCGAGGATGACTGCTGTGACTATTGTGCTGTCCTCAGGGGTCCTGGGTGTTTGCTGGAATGTTCCCCTGTCTCCTTTCCTGTCCTGCTGAGGATGAGAGCGGGGACCACTTCTGAGACATTTCTATATTTTCCACCTGGGCAGGGCTGGCACAAGGCATGTGTTTGAAATACATTTGTGTTGGAAGCAAGAAAAGCACCATTATACCCATTTGGCAGAGGAGAAAACTGAGGTCCACAGAGGCATGACTTTTCCTGAATGATGCACAGCCAATAAGTTTCAGAGCCTCCGATTTGGTCTCCCACGTGGCTCTACAGTGACGTCAATGGAAAGGCACATCAGACTGCAGATCAGTCTCTTGAATGGACGGAACAAAGGCTGTCCGTCCTCTCTGTTGATCACCTGAGGAAGCTCCGTCCAGGATGGACTTCCAGAATCGCTGAGCCCCTGTGGTGCTGTCCCAACCTAGAAAAAGCCCTCCCGGGTTTCGAGCCGCGTAGAGCCTCACGGCTGGCGCAGGCGGGCAGTGTCGCCTGGTTTCTTTCACGTGTGCCTTTGAAAGCCAAGCCCAGCCACCCCATGTGGAGACCGGGAAGTTGGGGAGCAGCGCCCCCACAGCCCAGTCTGGCCAGACATCCCCACAGAGGCCTCAGCTCCTCCTGGGGCCTCAGGCCAGCCTGGTGCCTGGCTGACGGTCCTGGCAGCAGGCTGGATCCAAACTGGGGCTCCTGGGACAAGGCTGGGCTCTGGGGTGCCTGACAGCCACCCCCCACTTCAGATGGCTTCATCCAGGTCCTGCTCAGCAGCCTCCCATGAAGGCTGGGAGGTCTGGTGGATGGAAGCAGGTTCCCTTTTCTCTCAGGCCCTGACTGACGGGGCGGGGGGTGGGGGTGGGCAGAGGGTGCCTTCAGGGCCTGTCCCTGTGGCGCCTTGATGAGGAGTCCAGTACAAACTGCAGCTCATCCTGCCGAGTCTCCGCATAAATATTTGTGTGGAGGCTTCAGAAGCTCCCTCAGACGAGCTGTTTTTAGGGGTAGAGCTGTTCGCAGGAGGGTAGCAGGGTAGCCCCCTTGCCCAGCCTCAGCCAAGCAACTGTGCAGGTGACTCAGCCCGTGTGCCCCCAGCGGTCACCCGCCCACAACAGTCCCAGCCTGGAAGTTGTTACAAGGGTGGAGGTGCTTTGAGAAACAAAGGTGTCGGACACCCCAAGGGTGAGCCTGGAAGTCTGGGCTTTAAGAGGTGTAACAGGGACCTTCACCGGCTCCCAGTCTGGAGGGGCGGATGGACCAGAAACGGCTCATGCAGCCAAGACACGATCAGGGATGTTACAGAAGCGACCAGGGACGGAGGGGCAGAGGGGATGGGGGAGGGGGAGGCGGTGCTGCAGCGGCGCCAGGCAGGCGCTGGCACAGGTGCGGGGGACCCGCAGGGTCAGGGTCGTCCCATCTAAGGGGAGGGGCTGTGGCAGGAGCCCCCGGTGCTCAGTCTGAGCCTGAGGGCAGTGGGCAGGGCGGGGGTCAAGGGGGCGGGGCCGGGGCCGGGTTGACGCCAGCACTTGCCCGGCCGGGCTGCGGGGGGAGGGGGGAGGGGGCAGAGGGGAGGGGAAGGGGAAGGGGCAGAGGGGGGAGGGGCAGAGGGGCGGGGGGCGGTGGAGCTGGGAAGGGGTCAGCGGCCGGAGCCCCAGGCGGCAGGAGCTGGGCACTGGGATGGGGGTCCCGGGAGGAGCCCGCGGGTCTCACGCCTCTGCCCGCTGCCCCCTCCCCGGCAGGTGCACCTGATGAAGCCGGACGCGGTCCCCAAGGCGTGCTGTGCGCCCACCAAGCTGAGCGCCACCTCCGTGCTCTACTACGACAGCAGCAACAACGTCATCCTGCGCAAGCACCGCAACATGGTGGTCCGCGCCTGCGGCTGCCACTGAGACCCTGCCCCCGCCGGCCGGCCCTCCGCGGGCGCGGGGGCCATGAGACCCCCCCAGCGCCGTCACAGCTCAGGCAGGGCGGCAGTGAGGCCCCCCCTCCCCTGCCCACATCCTCCAACGGGCTGGTCCTCCCCAGGCCCCCTGCCCCCTGCCCTGGGATGTGTGGTAGCCTGTCCAACCCAACCTCGCGTGGCTGATGCAGGCTGCGGTCAGCACAGAAGTCCCATCTTAGGACCTGTCCTTGGCCAGCCCTTTCCAGCTGCCTGGGACCCAGGATGGTCTGAGAGCACCACAAGCCTGAGGCTAGCAGACAGGGGTTGCCCCACTCACCACGGGTCTGGGTGTGGGTCTGCCCCTTACCAGCACAGCACAGTCAGAGGGGCACATGCTCTAGGTATAGTGTATTAGTGGTCCCTAACTGGCCTGTGGGCAGTTAGCACATTGGGAAGGAACAATGGGCCTTCTGCTTAGGTGTGAACCTGGTGGGGACGTCTTCTCCTGCCTGGGCCTGCCCTTCTCCTGCCTGGGGAAGAGGTGTGGCCCCCAGGGAAGCAATGAACCTTGGAGGTTTCCAGGTCCCTCCATGTCTCCGTGTGGTGCTTTGCACTTACGCATGAAGTGAACTCTTAGCACAAACAAGGGCACAGCTGCAGGGAGGTCCAGGCTGACAGCACAGATGTCACAGCTTAGCCCCTTGCCCTTGGCCGTCAGTCACCATCTTCCACGGGCCCTGAGAGGGCCTCAAGGCCCTCAGCCTGTGATCCCAGGTCACCAGCAGCCCTGAGCCCACTGTACTGCTTTCTCTCCTGCAGCGCTGAGGAGCGACCCAATGCATGCAGGCGCAGGGCGTCAGCCAGCACCCAGAGGTAACAACAGGCTGATCGCCCAAGTCTGCATCACCCTGTGTGCCTTGGAGTCCCATCCTGTTTCTTGGGGCCTGTGAGCCAAAGAAAAGGCCCCCGTGCCAGGGGAGTGACAGGCGGCAATTAGACCAAGCTGGGTGGGGAGTTTCCCGGAAACCACTGTTCACCTTGGAGCGGCCACCTGGAGTGTTTATTTGATTTCTGACTTGGTAAGCCTGTAATTTACCTGGTGGACCAGACAGAACCCAACTGCCTGAACCCCAGAATATCATTAAAAGCAGATCCTGGGCCCGCCCCAACCCACAGGCCCAGCCCAGGATGACACCCCGGGAGTTCACTTCGTGCCCTTTGGAGGGGCTCCGGGAGCGCAGCAGGGGTGGAGGAGGGGGCCCTGCTTCAGGACAGCAGCCCCTTCACCTGGACCTGGGAAGGATTCTGGAAGCCAGTGTACCGGAAGAGACCCCTCCATGGACGCAGGAAGACAGTGATCTCCGTTTTGGCCTGGGGCTTTGAGCTCAGGCTGGCAGTGAGAGGACCACGTACCAGCACAAATGTCAGTAGACCCATATTCTGGCTTCAGCTCAGTCACTGACCTGCCTGATGTCTGGGCAAATGCCCTTCCATTCAGGCTTCGATTTCCTGTCTCTGACATAGGACATACATAGGACTGTCACATCTCCAAAGGCCCTTCCGGCCAGAGAATCCACCTACGACTCTGAGCCTCTCCTCTCCCAGAGCCAAGATGTGGTCTAAGTGCCCAGCGGCCCTGGGACTTGAAGCCTGCTGTTTCAGGGCCTGATTCAGAGCTCTCCCCTTGCAACATCATGGGCAGTGGAGGTTTGGAAACTTTTGACAGATGTCAGTGTTAGGTTTCTTCGTTGCCTAAGCACATAACCTGGTATGGTTTGAGGCACCAGCGAAATTTGTGAAGTGAATGTTTTGAAGATGTGACCGCCCTGCCCATTGGAGGTGAGGAACATAAGGAACACAAGGATCATGACACGACTCCCTTCTCGTGCAGTAAAGTCAGAAGTCCAGTGGTTGTGGCCTTCCTGACACTTCTAGCACCCTCAACCATCCATGTGGCCACCGAATGAAATCCAACAGAAAAAGGCTTCAGAGAAGGGAGGTAATTAAAGACAGAAAGCTGATGAGGTGGCAGTGGCTAGTTACCAGGGCCATCTCGTTTACCTGGTTCCCTTTGGCAGTCCAGGTCACATTTAAGGCTACATATGAGAAGCATAAATAAGGGCGATCAACTCAGGTCCACTGGCAGCATAGTAAAAGATGATGGGGAGGGTGGGCACAAAGGCAGTGGTGCCTGGGGCCCGTGCCGTGGAAGGCACTGTTTGTCCACCTCACCCCGTGCACATCCTCACGACTGTAGAGCCAGCCTGGACCAGACATCAGCTCATCAGACAAAGCCCTATTCTTGTGTCTCTATGTAGAGAAGTGGGTGACACGCTTCCAAAAGTTCCCTACAATTTCATAGGAAAGGAGGCAATGACAGGAGAAGGTAGCTGTGGCAGCCAGCAGACCTGCCAGCAACAAATCTTGGCTGTGCCTCGTGTTGATGGGACCACACGTGCATCTCAGAGCCGGTGACTTCCTCTCTGCAGAATGAATGGGCTACAGGTTCTGCCCTGGCAGAGCCAGCGTGGGGATCAGGTCTGTCTGGAGCACTTGACACTGATTCTGCACACATACGCTGAATGAACAGTATTATTAGTGGCCTTATTTTAAACGAACTTGCAAATTTGGGTCTCTCCTGAATGCCTTCCTGTTAAAATCCAGTCCTCCCAGAATGTGTCCTTGAAGGTGCTACTGTGCTCACTGGGCTTTTCCTTAAAAAATAGAAATTTGGTAATCTCCTGGGGTGAGGTGTGGACTTTCACACCCACCCCCGTCTGTGGAGGGGGTCCCAGCTGGCAGTGACAGCTTGATCCTGTCTCTCCTGAGGACGGGGCAGCGCTGCACCCCTACCTGTCCCATGGCCCTGCTCACAAGTGCAGCTCAAGGGGAAACTTTCTGGGGTTTTTGTTCTTACTGGGAAGCCTTGAGCAAGCATTTGGCCCTCTTTTCTCACTTTCAAAAATATTACATGTGTCGGGGATGCTCTTGAAAATAAAAAACAATACAAACACATAATCTCACCACATGGAGACAACCATTGTTAATAATTCCAGTCATTTTTCTGTGGCACATATGTCTTTCTACATAATACATGGGTTATTTTACAGTTAGGATCATACTCTGTGCACTGCTTGGTGATCTAAATTATTCGATCTATGACATATTTTGAACATTTCTGTTATTAAATACCCCTTGGGAACATAATTTGCAGTAGCCTTCCATCCTTTGATTTCTGCCTTAGGTTGTGTTACTCCGAAACCAGGGCTCACTATTCCTTCCCCAGAGGGTGGCGTGGGGCCCCCAACCCTATCACCTGCAGCTTTGGGAAGGAAGGAAGGTAGCGAGGGTGTGGCCACCAGGCTGGCCAGTAGCTCAGAAGACCTGGACCAGGTCTGAGGCTCAGGTTGCCACCTGTACAAGGCTCACAGGTGATTACCGTGGCATAGTTTCTGGGGCAGCCCTTGCACAGGACAGGGTGAGCAATCGCCACCTGATGGTTCCTCCCAAGCCAGCATTTCTGGCCAGTCTGCTGGTCCCCCTCTCCAGGGCAATCAGGAAAGCACAGTGACCAAGTCTGCCCACCCCCACCCTTCCCTTGTTTCCCAGGCTTTGTGACCAGTCCTCTCTGCTCAGGCCACAGGCCAGCCTGCTCCCCGCCCACATGTCATCCCCAGAGCCAACCGTGCTGAGTCTGAGTGCCTCACACACATCCCCTTGTCGCTTGGACATCACACCAGCCCCAAGTGGCTGACATTCTCCTGGCCTCACTGCTGCCTGTGCTGACAGCCACAGCTGACCGCCAGTGAGAAGGGGCCTATGTTAAGAAGTGAGGGTCCTGGCTGGGATCCTGCGGCAGTGGGTCTTAGCCATAGGAGCGGCCCCAGCCAGCCACAGAGGACAAAGCCCTACGTGAAAGCAGAGAGCCAGGCTAGCACTGGTGCTGTGGGGAGGAGTAGCAGCTATCCCTTTGCAGGATCTGGCCTGGGGGCACTGGGGCCAGGGGCCAGCAGGCTACCCCGCCCTCCCAACTCAACCTGACTGCCACCCAAAATGAGAACACAGGCTGAGGGAAGAGCCCAGCCCAGCAGTTACTGAACATCCAGACTCGATCCAGACAACCACCAGCCGGCGGCAGGAGAGCAGGCAGCAGCCCTGGAGGAGGTTTCCAATGATGGGCTGATGGGGCTCAGCCTTGGTACATTTGAGTTGCTGTCAGGTGGCATAGGGTGAGAGGCTAGCCTAGAGCAGGCGACAAACCATGGCACCAGAGTTCAATTTCCAAGTGGGGCAGGGACAGGGCAAGAACCACCTCTGGCTTCTTATGTCTCCCCAGGACCCAGCACAGGGCCTGGCAAAAGAAGGGCCCTGAACTCTGCCATGATACAATTCTATTGGTCTGACGAATGCACAGTGCGTGAACAGGTCACTGAGACTGCCTACAGTGCCTCTTAGCCCAAGGCCAGCAGGTGTGAGGGGAGGACTGGAGCCTGGCTCATCTACCTGGCCTGCCTGGTAGCAGGTGAGAGAAGACAGGAGGCGCTGCCGCCCTGCAGCGGTCAGACCAGGGGTTGCTTCTCGGGCAGCCTGGAGGGGACGGAGGCCACACAGGGGGGTCTGTCGTCTGTTGCAACAGGACAGGTGAGTCAAAGCGGCAACCTCTGAAAACACCTGGGACGTGGCTGCATGGCAGCAGTGTAAGAACTGGGATTTCTTTTACCAGAAGATACAGCCAGGATCCACACTAGGTGGGCCCAGAGAAACCTTGGCGGCAAAGGCCTAGAAAGAATATGCACAGCCATCCACGGTGGGGAGGGAGGCCCGGGGCCCAAGGCCACACCTGAGGACGACCGGAGGAGGCGCAGGCTGTGCCTGCAGAGGAGCTGCCCCACGCTGACCCCGAGGAAGGGCCAGGACACGAAGCCCTGCTCGCTGCCAACCGGACACCTCGGGCTCCCGTCCCCGGGTTGACAGCTCCCCTCTCACACGTTCTCCCCACAGTCGGAGATGATCACCTTCTGCTTAGGCTTCCCGTCCTTGCTGCCCTGGACCTTTGCGGGCCGAACAGAAGGGAGAAATCAGGGCAGGGAGGGTGGAGAGTAAGTGGGTATGCGCCCTACACACCCCATCCCAGCAGCAGCCACCATGGCCTCTGTCTGCAGGTCCCAGGCCTCCTGTTACCACTCTCTCATAGGGCTGTGCACCAGCCTGTGCACAGCCACTGTGTCTGTGCACACCACTGTCAGCCTTGCAGTCAGGCAGGCTCAGACTCTGGGACCTACAGAGTCTTGGATGCCTTGTCTTCCACTCAACTGACAGTCACTGAAGTACTCAGCATGGCTGTTTCAATCATTTTATACTGGTTTGTCCTTTCATTAATTCATTCAACAAATACTTATTACTTCATAATCAGGCACCTATTGAACCCTGGGGATACTGGTCCAAGTCTGGGCGGAGCCCACAGTCTAGCAGAAAAGAGTCACTCACAAATTATTAATTCACCTCAGGAATGCAAGTTTGGTTTACTATCCAAAAGCCAGATCAATAGAATAAAAGACAAAAGCCATATAATAATCTTAATAGATGCAGAAAAAAATCCAATACCTTTTCAAAATAAAAACATTCAACAAACCAGGAATAAAAGGGAACCTCCTCAATCTGATAAGGGTTCTACAAAAAAAAACATGCAGTAAAAGACTAGATATTTTCCTCTCTAAGATAAAGAATAAGACAAAGATGTCTACACCTGCCACTTCTACTCAATGTTGTACTAAAGATTCCAGCCAGGGGAATTAGCTCCCCCAACCAAAAAAAAAAAAAAAAGAATCCTATTGGAAAGGAAAATGTAAAGCTGTCTCTATTTACACATGACATAATCTTAGAAAACCCTAAAGAATACACTAGAAAAGTATTAGAACTAGTAAACAAATTCATCAAGGTTGCAGGACATAAGATTAATATACAAAAATCAGTTGTATGTCTATATGCTAGCAATGAATAGTTTGAAAATGAAATTAAGAAAATTCACTTACAATAGCCTCAAAAAGAATAAAATACTTAGGAATAAATTCAAAAGAAGTATAAAATGCATACCCTGATAACTACTGAACAAACTTTCAGCACTGAAAGAAACTAAAAAAGACCTAGACAAATAGAAAGACATCATATGTTCATGGACTGCAAGACTTAATATTGTTAAGATGGTAACACTTCTCAAATTGTTCTGCATATTCATTGTAATCTGTACCAAAATCCCAGCTGGGCTTTTTATAGAAATTTATAAGCTTATCCCAAAATTCAGATGTAAATGCTAGAGCCCCAGAATAGCCCAAATAACCTTGAAAAAGAAAAATAAAGTATAAGGACTCACATTTCTTGAATTCCACCTTTACTATGGAGCTACAGAAGACAAAACAGTGTGGTACCGGCACAGGATAGATATACAGATGAAGGGAACAGAATTAAAGTCCAGAAATAAATCCTTACATTTATGGTCTACTGATTTTTAACAAGGATGCCAAGATAATTAAACAGGAATAGAACAGCCTTTTCAACAAATAGTGCTGAAACAACTGAATGTCCACATGCAAAAGAATGAAAATGGACCCATCCTCTCACACTATACCCCAAAATTAATACAAAATGCATCAACAACCTAGGTCTTTGCTAAAGCCATAATACTCTTAGAAGAAAATATGGAAGTAAATCTTCACGCTTAGGTTAGGTAAAACCTTAGATACAATACCAAAAGTACAGTGACTCCCTCACCACCCCCCCCCCGGCAAAAAAAAAAACAGATAAACTGGACTTCTTCAAAATTTAAAACTTTTTTGCTTCAAAGAAGACCATAAAGGAAGTGAAAAGACAATCCACAGAATGAGATAAAATATTTGCAGATCACATATCTGATAAGGGACCTATATCTGGACTATTTAAAGAACTCTTATAATTCAATAATAAAAAGACAAATGACTCAATTAAAAATAGGATCTGAATAGACCTTTCCCCAAATATATACAAATGGCTAACTAGTACATGAACTACAAATGTTGGTGAGGATGTAAAGAAATTGGAATCCTCAGAGACTGCTGATGGGAATCCAAAATGGTGCAGCTACTTTGGAAGATAGTCTGGCAGTTCCTTACAATATTAAAATAGAGTTATCAAACGTTTCAGCAATTTCAATTCTAGGTATATACCCAAGAGAAGTGAAAACAAATGTCCACACTAAAACTTGTATATGAATGTTCACAGCAGCAAAAATAGCCAAAAAACAGAAACAACCCAAAGGTCCATCAACTTATGAATAAATAAACTGTGGTATATCTATACAGTAGAATATTAACTGACAATAAAAAAGACTTACACACTAATGCACACTATGTTGTAGACAAACATTTTTAAAAACATTATGCTAAGTGAAAAAAGCCAGTCATAAAAGTCTACATATTGTATGATTCTATTTATATTAAATG